TGCGGGAATCGGATCGTTAAGCACCAAGCCATGCAGTACAGAACAACGTGGCCTCGAATTCTTCTGACAGATTCCACGAGCTCAATCCGAGGCTTCACCTACCGTTGAACTCCTTCATAGGTCGGACCATGAAGTTAGCCATCAATTCCCTTTCTGACGCAGACAAGACTTTGCTATAGCTGCGTGTTAACAACTTCAGAATTGAATTTTATTCCGTGTATTACCGTGATCTCCACCAAATATCAAGCTCCTCTCCAAGGTTTAGTGATCATTGAGATTGCCGAGCAGCACGGGATCATTGCCAGACGAGCTGCCGTACGTATCGCTCCATTCATATAATTCACCGCGCATTATCACCTCGTCCCTCGCGATCGCTTGAGCCTTGGATTCGAGTGCTTCGCTCAGACACGGACTGCAAAAGGAGACCTCTTGCTCCACCAGTCGATGATCCGACAGCATGAAGCTGAGTTTACGCACCTCACGACACGTCTTGCACACGTATCGGAAGCAGATCTTACACGTACGTCGCTGCTTTTTGCCTGCCAAGAACTTAAGCGTTTGCTTCGATGTCTCTTGGCACGTGACGCATCTGTCCGAAGCCTTTGCGATCGCTGAATCCGATTCGCTAGTCGTTAGACGATTCCTGATTGTCCATACGAGCTTCTTCATCTGCGCGCAGTATACATTCTTCGACACGGATAATAACGCTGCAGCTGCTGAGTGGAGCACAATAGAACGCATGAGTCCTCCCGCGGGGTTTAGATATCCTTTGATAAACACTTCTGTGGAGTACGGGTCTTTCTGACGATAACAGGCACACATTGACATATTACCGCGAATGTATTGATTCAGTGGCGGTGTCTCGAGGAACTGTACGGAGTGGATGAGCTGGTATCCGATACGTTCGCCGTTGCGCAGATAATCGACGCCTGTGGACTCCATATACACGAAATCTCGGTTCTTAACTACTGCACGTACCGGCAATCGTTGACCCTTTTCCATCCACTTGATGGTCACGGCTCGGAACGGATCTTCCGGTGTTGGAGGCACTATCGTCGACAGTACATGGGCTCCGATAAGCTGGTCGTTGACGCACGACGTCTTAACACGCATCTGGTCTAACGTGGGGCAGATGTA